ACGCACGCACGCACGCACGCACGCATACACACTCTCGACAAGTTGGGTGTGCTCATGGCTGGATTTAGTTAGTCCGTTAGTCCCGAACAAACACTGCTACAAGTGGTCGCTTTATCTCGCATCGCTGGACAGGCCGCTGCGGGTGAAAAACTGCACTGGTCTAGACGTGAGACCAACCATTTGCAATTGCATGACCGAAGCACTTTACCCGCCTAGTGCATTAGACCTTTACCATGTCAGATGCGTATGCCGACCTGTGCAGAACGAAACCTGGAGAGCTCTGCAGAGTAGAAGAGTCATCGAATTATTAGGCAAAGCAGAATAGCAAGGGAGTTGCGCACAGCGAGCACTTTAGTCGCTACTAGCAACACATGCACTCCTGACATGTCTTCCACGCGCACCCGAAGGTGGGGGTCGAGGGATCCATAAAGCGAAAAGAAGACACCTTGGGTTTCTCGTCAGATGACTAAACACCGTATAACACTCTGATAGCTGAAAGAGAATGTTGTGGGATACAAAAGAACGGATCCCCAGTTGGCGACAGCCATACACACTCAGACATACACACACACACACACATCAAGCAATCCCTGCTCCCAGCCATTAGCCTCCCCCCTCCCGCACCCACAACCAATTTTGATGTTAGATTGCGCTGATGTAGCCAAGGATGATGGCTCCTTGTTGACAATTTCCGTCCTTCTGTCAAGGCTTCGGCACAATCAATATTTTGTATGGGAGAGATAAGTTTTTGCATGTCTGCCGCCGCCACCAGCCAAAACACCCATCGCTGTTTGCAGCCCCTGTTGAGTGTGCTGTGCTTTGGGAGGCACAGCAGCTTTGAAGGCGGCATCTTCAATACGTTTCTGGAAGATTCTCGGGTTGAGCACTGCTTGGACATTGGAGACGCAGCCAGGCCCTCAATAGACAAGCAGAGCCGAGACACTCCATAATATTAGTCCACATTTTTGTTATAGTTTTTTCTGACTGACTGTGTCAGTTTCGTTCGCACGCTACTCGTACAAGAGGATGAGCCTGGCGGATGCCACATACTACATACCAAAAATCTGCACTGTCGTTGTGAGTGAACAGGTCTTGTTCGTCTCCGAGAAGCGTCACAACGTCAAGGACTCGATTGCCGCCTGAGCGCCGCTGCAGAGTAGAACAACACCCACTGTGTTGAGTAATTCTGCCCTCCACTGCACCTGACACAGGGGCAGGTTAGTCACGGTTGTGCAGCCAGCATCCACACTTGTCCTGATTCGGCAAGGTCAGCCCGGTCATGGGTCAGCGCCAAGCCCTGGTCCTGGAGCTTTGGGACGGGCATGAGCCTCACAAAGGGGATGCCAGCACACGAGAGCAGACAGAAGAATCTGCAAGCACCAAGGCTGCGAACTCATCGCGGCCGGCACGATTGACATCCAACAGTCTGCTATTCGAAGCAGTGGGACAAAAAACTCTTTGCCCGCCTCTGGTCACTCAAGTCCCTTGATTCTGAGCGGGGCAGCTGCGCCCGCAACACATCTTGAAGTCTTAGCACGCTGCTGCGAAGGACATATGAAGTGGAATCCAAAGCGCGGGAGGCGAAAGAGATGGAGGACTGCATGCTGCAGTCACTGCCTGTCTAGTACTTCGATCACTGCCTAGCTGTCCGCGCACGTTTTGTGACATGGGAGTCTTTGCTCCCTCATGCGATATCACAACCTGACACAACACCTGCTGTGAGAAAGTTTCCAGGAGAAAGTACTTCAAGCGCAGGGCCTTAAGCCAGGCCGCTGCCACTTCAGGGCTGCACCATGCACTGGCCATCGAAAACAAGGGCCGCTGCTTTCTCAGCAGCATTGCAAGCTCACGGCAGTGCTGATTTCGAGCTTGCAGACACCCGATTTAAGAATGCACCAAGCCCCAGCTTTGCTGCAGAACCCATGGTGCGACCGATGACAGAACAAACACTTCGGACAGACGGTTCGAATCTGAGTTTCTGAGATGTCACTGCGTGGAAATGCGCGGAATGTCTGGGCTCCATTTTGTCACACTGGTTACGAACCTGACTTTTCGGTTTGTTGCACGGCTTAACTGGAAATCCAGGAACGTCGTTACGGAATTAAGTCAGACAGCTGTCTGTCTTTCGCAGAGTCATGCAAAGGCAATGCCGATGGTTCCATTCCTGTTTAGGGGCGTAAAGAGTGTGGTCTACTCGGCATCTGGATCATACCCGAGTTGCGGCTTGTTCTCGAAACACGTTTCAACATGACATCTGAAAGAACGCAAACCGGAACGACCGCACTTCGCTCTGATTGTAGATAATCATCTAACGTAAATCTAGATTCTCGTGCGCAACGCCTCGGAGGTTAGATGCCTGCACTGAAAGAGCGAATTAAGTTCGGGTGGAAACGGTCTGTTAACACTGGAAACAGAGATGTTAGGCATAAGTTGCCGAGTCCCTGTGAGTAAAAGGCGACTTGATCTTGGCGAGCTCAGGTTGCGAGGAGGTCAATCGCATGCTGCACTCCATTGCTACAGAGGTGGTTGACAACCTCAGCTTTCTAAACGGCTCGCCGCACGTCCCTGACGTGAACATGCGTGAACCATGTCACGCAGCGAGGCTGATGTGCCAGCCGTGGGAAGCGACAAGAAGCTTCCTCCGAGCTACCAGAGTCGCTGTGGCATGGTTGGCAGAGTGTCAGGATTTGCATGCGCGAGCGTCACGGTCTATCATTTGCCTACAGAACATCTGATGTCACACGATCGAAGCTCTTCATGGCTGCCGTGCAGGTGATTCTGGTGAGGTCAAATTCTGAGCTGCTTCCGTGCTGGTGTTAGAGTCAATTAACTTGCAGCAAAGGCAAGGTAGCAATTACGAGTTTGGCGTGTGTCAGGGCTAGACGGGGTAATGCGAAGCGGGGCAGGTCAAGATAGGCCACTCATTCCAAATGCTTAATATATGTATCTATACGTATTTGTAAAGGTATATATACCTATACACACAGGTATATCTATATATACAGACATATACAAATATACATATATACATATACATATACATATATGTATATGTATGTATGTGTATACACATACATACATACATA